TCACCAGAAAAAAGGGGCAAATAGGGCCTGGACTGGGTCCCTCAAGAACACGCGCTGAGACTCGCAAAAATTACTCTGGCCTCAGGGCATCAACGTGGCAATAGCCCCAGAGGCAGACAGGCCCAGTCAATCTGACCCAGCGGACAGCAGGGGTTGTGGAGGAAGCGATGTCCGACACTGATGCAAGCCCAAAGAGCTGAACCAGTAGCGGGTGAGCGGGATGGTGTGTTGTTGATCCAGCTCTGGCGTCACGAAGCTTGGGATACAGGCGCACATAAGCGTGAGATTGCCGACATCAAAACCACATGGTAAAAAGGCATTGAGGGGGCCGTAAACCCCGCGGGGCCAGAGTTTGTGATGCATCTAGACTGGCGGGAAGGCCTTGACGCTAGACTACTTTGACCTGCAAGTAACCTCAGCTCGCGGCCTAGACGCTGTGGTGTGATAAGTTTCGCTGGACCGCCACACGAGCAACGGGTGACCAAGCGAGGTCGGGATTGAGAGTCTGAAGTGGACCGCAGCGAAGGCTGGCTGAGCTGGCCGATGGATGAACCAGTCAGTCGCACAAGAAAAGGCATCTCAACCAGGGGAGCCTAGACGACATGGGGATGGGCCAGTCGAGACACGATGCAGCTCGTCGATAGTTCCATCATGGTCTGGGGCTTGTGTTGAACAGCCCTGACTACTCCGTCCCTGCATTCACAAGGGCATCCACTGCCACGGCCGATGAATCCCAGAATGCCGGGTCATGCCATTTGACGGGGCTTGATTGAAGAGTCAAATTGCCGACGAAGCATCTTGTTGATAGCAGGTACGGTGGTTTGGATCTACTAGTTCAATAGAGCGGGGAAGGAAGCCTGAATTATTGAGGGTCTGAGCTGATGTGTTAGATAAGGGGTTTCTCTATCTTATCTATGTCCGATAAGTCCCACAGTTCTTGGTGGTGCTGTGCAGCGGGCGCGGTGAACGCGCTCTGATAGCTTCCAGCTCGCAATCTGATGCTAGAATGCAACATTGGTGGCTGGAGGCCTTCACACTTGCCGCGCTTGGCCATTTCTGACTACTTGCCTACAACATGGCACCATTGACACCATACAGCTATATTCAATGCCCATGCTCCGATTCTAGCCCGGCAGCTGACAGCTCGGCAGCCAAAGGAGAGCCCGACGATGATCGAACTTTTGACCCAAGAGCTGCCCGCGCGAACTACAGTCTCTACCCCCTCGAGTATCTTAACTACTGCGAAGACTGCCATCAAATACGATGCCCGAGATGTGTCAACGAAGAGATAGTCACATATTACTGCCCTAATTGCCTCTTCGAGGTACCCAGCAGCAACCTCAAGAGTGAGGGTAATAGGTACGTTCGAGACGCTGCTCAAGTGTGGCAGACTCTGAGGAGTGAACTGATTGTTCCCCAGATGCACAAGAAGCTGCTTTCAGTGTCCATGTTGCATTGGGCCTCTTGCTGTGACGAGCCTAGAAACACCCCCCGATCGAAGTCTTCTCGCTGCTGAAGGTGCCGCCCCTCCAGCCGGACCATACATTCTCAGTTGCTCCTACTGCCAATGGAGCTCTGCCGAGATTGGGATCAAGTTCGATAAGCCGAATGGAATATACCAACAGCTCGCCAAGATCAACAACGGGGGACAGGCACGTCTGACCGCCAAAGAGTACAAGGAACGCAGGAAAGACAAGGAGGCGTGGGCTGAAACGCCACTGAAGAGCGAGGATGTTGACCATGAGCTTCACTTCGCGCAACTCAAGACTTTTTACCAAACCCAACTGGCGAATTCGAATCCCCAGGCGGCGGGCCTGTCGTCCTTCAGTGACCTGGGCATTGCGTCTCCAGGGTCTCTCTCACGCATCATGAGCATCTATACGGGCACACACACCAGCCACAAACAGTCGCGGAGCAAGATACCCATCATGCGCGAGGCGCTTGACCTCGATGAGGGTCTGAAGGTTGCCAACCTCGACGATTCAGCCCGTATCGCGCAGCTGCGCGAGTCCACGGTCGACGACACGGTCACGGCCGAGCAAAAAGGATCCCCAGCCCAAACCCGTCCGCTTCGCCTCCGAGCTCCGCCCGATTCCCTACCTTCTACGCACGAAGCGATCCAAGCGCTGTCCGCTCTGTCGACACATTATCAGCAAGCCCGAGGCCAAGATCTCCAACACGCGCTTCCGTATCCGCCTCGTCGCGGGGAGTTACATCCCCACCATTTCCATACGGCCGCTTCACTCCGAAGCTGGTAACATTCCCTCAGCGATGCGGCCTCCTGTGCCTCAGGAGCTCTGGCTCGCGCCCCTCAAGCCGGCGCAGTACCTTCTCACGTTCAAGAATCCCATTTTTGAGGCGGTCAAGGTGACCCTCGCGACACCGGCGAAAACGCCGGGACGATTCCCCAGCACTGTGACGGTGCTGTGCCCTCAGTTCGAGATTGACGCCAACACCGACATGTGGGACGACGCGCTCAAAGGCGAGGAAAGGCGGCGCAGGGGCGAGGAGGGGGGTGCAGGGCAGCAGCAGCCCGAGCCGGGCAAGATCTGGGAAAGGGGGCGGAACTGGGTAAGCGTGGTTGTGGAGGTCGTGCCGGCCTCGTTGAGGCTGGATCTCGTGACGGCGGGTCCAGACGGCGGAGAGCCCGACAGGAACCCACTGAAGGAGGACGAGGATGTGCTGGAGATACCCATGTTTGTGCGGATTGAGTGGGAGGCTGAGGCGCAGAACGAGGTGGGCGCAGCGCCCGGCAAGGAGAAAGAGGCCAAGGAGAAGCGCGAGTTGGCATATTGGTGCGTACTCGGGGTGGGAAGGATAAGCCAGACATAGCTCGAGTGTTTGTGCTCTTATGATAAACACACAAATGACAACGATACCCCCATCATATCACAGTTATGTTGCCGCATTCGTCAGAATTAAAAGGAAGAAATCATTACGTTCGTCAATGCATGTTTGGCAGCCTGCTCTGAATTTTCATGCTACACTCTAGACGCCGAGCCCATTTTTGACCAACCAGTCGTTGTGCGTGACCATACGCTGCTGCTGCTCACGCACGCGCACACGCGCGAGGGCAGGCCGGGAATCATCTACCTCTTCCAGTCGTAAAAGTCTGACGACGTCAAGATGAAAGGAAAACTCCCGAATGCCAATCCATGAAGACCCAACTACGCCGCTGGTACCAACATGTCGCAATCAGATCTCCCGATCCGAGGGCGACACGCTTAGTAGTCGGTGGAGCCGGACTGGGGGAACTCGAAGTTGACACCGCGGCCGGTGAGCTTGCGGTAGACCTCGGCGTAGGTGTCGAGGCGGTAGTCAACACCGCCACGCTCCTTCTCGTCAAGGACAACCTTGAGGAGCTTATTGCCGTCCTCCTTGGTGCGGAGACGCTTGCCGACGATCTCGACGGGGTAGACGAGGTCGGACAGGATAGCGTCGTGGACAGCGGTGAGGGTACGGCTGTGGGGGCGCTTCTGCTTCTGGGTGTTGCGGGAGCGGCTGGAGCGCTTGGGGCGGGGGAGGATGCGGCGCGAAGCGAGGAAGAGGACGTGGCGGTCGGAGAACTTCTTCTCGAGCTCACGGGTGAGGCTACACTACATCAGTACGTGTTGCACAGCTTGAGGAGAACTGGGTTGGGGTAACATACCGCTGCTGGACGCGGTGGAAGCCCTGCAGGGAAGGGACGGGGACAAAGATGACAATAGCCTTCTTGCCGTGGCCAACCTCGATCTAAACAAGACCAGAAATCAGCATGCGAGCTCCAGGACGAAACCTTGGACCGCTTCCCGTCCTGTTCCACTATAGAGTAGTATCTTGTGTGGGCAGGATATTTTCTCATTCTTATACACTCCAACCATCCAGCGCAAGACTTTTCCGGTCCGTCGCCTACTGAGCGCCCCCCATCGATGCTCTGCCCTTTTGAGGGGTGAGGTAGCCAAGATGAATGGCCACCATCGTACTCAGGGTATGTTCGCATAAGGCGGGGGTTTTGATTGCTGGCAGATGGCAATCGGAACCGGGTTCGTCGCGCGTGGAGGCGGTTTCTCGGTAGTGTGGGAACAGGATTCGTGTTGCGATCCATAGAGGGAGAGAGTATCTGTTTTTTCAAGTCGTTCTTACCTCACGGGCGGAGACGAACTGCAGAGGGCGCAGAGCGACCTTGAGATCGGCGGTGTTCGTCTCGAGGTCGTACAGAGCCTGAGCAATGTTCTGCTCAAGCTCCGAGGGGGAGGCCCTCGAGGGGCTGTTGGGGGCGATCTTGTTCTGGGCGGACATCTTGACTGGCAGCTGGCTGGGCGTCTGGTGCTGGTTGATCGGAATGAAGTTCTCACGAAAGAATCGACAGAAACTTTTTGGTGGTGGCCGGATCGGGGCCAGGTGCTACAGCGAGTGGAGGGACGGGGTTTCGCTAAGATTGGGGCTCTAAGCCCTGACCATTGTGTGTGGAGAGTGGTCTGTGCGGGATGCTGATTGCACTGACCGATATCAGTGGGCCGGGGTCGGTGACTTCGGTGAACCGTCCATCTCGGTGTAATCCCATCACCATACCCCACCTTCTCGGGGATCAAGATAATACCGTGTTCAAGTCGGCAGCAACGATATAGAGTTACAGCCAGAAAATAGAGTATTTGTTGATCCTGACCATACTGGAGCTCGGGTTTTATTTCATTGCTGCTTCACAGAGCCCAGGTGTTTGTCGATTGTTTGAACCACTTTGCTTGTCTGTCCTCATGACATCATGCACGTTTGTAACATCGAGCAACATTCACTTGTCGAATCAACCCACGTCTCTCTTACCTTCCACCATGCATTTACCAGACCCTGCCAAACTGAAATACAATAAGGAAAAATCACTCAACATTAGAATACTGGTAGCAACGACCTTCGCTCAAGATGCAGCTCAACAATGTCGTTATCCCATTCGAGCATGATAACGCAGCTTGGGACATCACAGTTATTGATGGCGTTGTCGAGTCCAAGATTCCTGCGGCAGACGCGTCAGGGCCATCAAGTCTCCTGCTGCCTACACTCTGTCACCCTCACATCCACCTGGACAAGGCATATTTGCTGACGGGCAACCGCGCCGCGTCCTCTGACCACCCTGGCTACTCCGACCTAGCCCCAACGTCTGGCACGTTTGAGGAGGCCCTTACCAATACATCCAAAGCCAAATCTCGCTACACCGAAGCAGACCTCTACCTCCGCGGTTCTCAGCTCCTAGCGACAAGTTACAAGCAGGGGATCACGTCCCTCCGGGCATTCGTCGAAGTCGACCGCGTCACTGGTGTCGCACCTCTTGTCACAGCAGTCCGCCTGAAGAAGGATTTCCGCCATCTCATCAACGTCCAGATATGCATATTCGCTCAAGACCCTTTATTTTCCACTGCACACGGAACGAAAAATCGTGAAGCATTGGAAGTTGCTCTTGAGGAGTACATTGACTCGATTGACGCCCTCGGCACGACACCTTACGTCGAGGACAACGATGATGCCAGCGGTCGAAACATTGCGTGGGCAGTGGCGACAGCGCTCCAACGTGACCTGCATCTCGACTTTCATATTGAGTACAATCTTGGCCAACCAGGCTCAGTGGACATCGGCCACATTCAGACCGCCATTGAATGCCTCGAGGGATATGCGTGGGCCACGAAAGCAGATTGCAAGACCGTGGTTCTCGGCCACGCCACCAGGCTCACCGAGGTACCGCGGGAGAGACTCCAGCAGCTCGCTGATAGGATTCACACGTCCAAGTTGCCAGTCTACTTTGTCGGGCTGCCATCGAGTGATCTGTACATGATGGGACGTCCTGCGGGTAACGATGACGCCAGTCAGGACTTTCATCACCGTCGGCCCCGGGGAACGCTCCACGTCCCATCGCTTATCAAAGACTACCAAATCAACGCCTGCCTCTCGGTGAACAATGTTGGCAACGCCTTCACGCCGTATGGTACTGGAGATCCTCTAGCCCTGGCGTCACTTGGCGTGGGCCTGTATCACGCTGGGTCAGTGGACGATGCCCGACTTCTCTACGAGTGTGTCAGCACGAGGGCCGAGGCAGCAATCGGTATGCACCGGCATCAGACAGACGAAGGGAATCGGGCTGGAACAGTGGAACAAGGTAAAGACTGGCGCCCATTGTTGCTCATAGCACCCGAAGCCGATCTCGAACTACCCTCCTCGTCAACGACGAACGGTGCAACAAAATCTATGACGATTCCATCCAGGCGCCGGCTCGGCATCAAAGATGTCGTCTGGGACCCGCCCGAAACGACAATGCGCAGCATCATCTGATAATGATAAAACGATTGGAAACGCCCGCTTGATTTGACAATCGCTTGTTTTACATGCCATCTTTTGTCCCATACCTTCACAACATCAAAACCATTGCCAGAATTACACCGAGCTCGCTGGTTTCGGGCCTTCAGCCGTCGGGCTGGCAATGGTAAAGTTTACAACCGGCCGCCTCAGCGAGCGGATCCTCTTGAGAGGGTTCAGCTTCGTGGCGTCGAAAGTGAAAGCAGGCTTCGGAGGCGCAATCTCGGCCCCGCCTGCCGACCAGGTAAAGTCGTCGTCGGCAGCCATGCTCTTCTTTGTATCCTTGGACTCGAGATCCGCGCTGCTGATGCCGTTCCACCCGCCGTTCTGCCTCCTTGCGGCGCGGCGCTTCCGTATGCGCACTGTCACAAAGACGGCGGCGACCATCAATGCCAAACAGATGAAGGAGACCGGCAGGATGACGAAGGAGAGCTGGAAGGACGACTTTTGCTTGGGCGGCGTGATGCTCAGCTTGGGGCCGGAGATGCGGTTGCGGGCTGAAGTGCCGTTCTCATAGACGAGGTAGAGCTGGACGTCCATCTGCTTCCACCTCTTGGGGTCCGTCTCGCTGATGGTCCAGGCGTAGAAGCCCTCGGAGGCGACGATGGGCCCGGAGGAGAAGGCCTGGTCCTCGATGACGCCGTCGTGGTTGGTCAGGGCGCCCTCGACAACGACGCCGCGGCCAGGATCTTCAAAGTGCTCTGCATCCCAGGTGACTGCAGCATGTTAGGGACTCATTGCCTGAATTCCGGAAGAGGAGATGCTGCTGCTCACTGAAGTATGTGCTCCCTGCGGCTACCTCCTTATCCTTTTCCGAGGCACAAAAGGGGGAATACAATTCACTTGATCCCGAAGCTTCGTCGCAGACGAGGAAAGCCCCGGAGCCGTCGCTGAAGGCGGTGGGGAGGGCTGTTGGGCCATTGTAGGCCGAGATTGTGTCGTCGCCATCGATTGTAGGCGTGACCGTACGAGTCGCGCCATCGGGGGCCATCGTGACCCAGGGATGAAGGGCATTGTTGGCCTGCGAGGCAGTCTGGCTCGACGTGGTCGTGGCAGACTGGACGAGGTTGGCACATAGGAAGATGGCCCAGACCAAGCTGGGCAACCGTGGCCAGCTCATGATGGACGACCACTATGAAAGAAAAGATTAAATATCAAGATTAAGAAGGATCCAAAACTGGAAAACGCTGCATACCTTTCGCCGAATACCACATCTCACAGATGAAGCTGGGCTTCTCGCTCCCTTTTGTATCGCGTGACTGCCACCATTAACGCCATCACCACAAGCCACGGGAGAAACCGACCATCTCAACCATCTTACCGAAAGGCCATCCATCCATCTCGATCTAGATTCCCCAATGTCCCCTTCAAAGCCAAAGTCACGCCAGGGATATTCCTTTCCGCGCTCGACCCGCAACCCGCCCACCAACCTTCTCGCCGCACGAAACGAACCACCCGAATGCAGGCAAAAACTCTCCTCATCAAGTGTCCGGGACAATGAGTAGAAAACAAAAGCGTCACAGCACACCCCAATCTGGCTACCTTTCAACCGCCCATCGTGCAACGCACCTTGTGTCTCTAACAGCCCAATGCGGCATAGCAATGCGACAGCGTGCCACATCCGACGAACCCGTTTGAAGGCGCCGCGACGCCCCCTGCTCTCTCTCGTCTGTGCTCGTCACTACGGGGGCTGTTTCGAATGGGGAAACTTTATTTTCCCCCAACGTCACCTCCAACTTGATCTCTTCTGCTCTCCGCCGCTGAATCGCATCTCGGAGGGTGAAGGAGAGGGAGGAGGTGGGGGCTTCGACGGTGACAACACCTCTCGGACCGCAGCACTGGGAGAAAAGTCGTCTGATGGCGGGCCCCGAAACGGAAACCGGTGGGCTCTGTCGCCCACCACCGAGCAAATGACGAACACACATCAAACAGGAGAAGGAGGTAGGTGGGTGAAGTAGCCTTTTCCTGCGAGTCGTCTTTTGAGACGTCATGTTGATCGACTTGAGGGATCGCGGAGCCATTTTCCCACCATGACTGGCCGGACGGCCCGGTCGATCGTTGCTCCGGTCACGACGGCTTGATAGCCTTGCCGCTTCATGGGGCTGGGATCATCGTGCCACGGAGCGATTGCGGCAAATCTGTGCGAGGGCAGATGCTTTGATATCAGTCTGGCTCTGGGACTTCATCCCTGCTTCACTCTGGCGGTTCGCACGACTCGCTGTGCAAGTTTGGCCTTGTCATGGAGGCTATGAAGCTTTGCGGATGGGGCGATCCGGCGCTTTGACGGGGTATGGGCACGACATTGTAACGAACAGCTGTCTTTCTGAAAGTTTTTGTGTTCCCGCTTGCATTGATGTGGGTATGCGGAAGACATAGCTCCAGAGGTTACCTCACGGATGAACTACAGGTGTGAGCTCCTGTGGCATGGTGGTATATGTTACCAAACCCAGTCCTTAATACATGCTTGACATGGGGTACACGGCGCGCATGCTTCCAAATATTGAGTACATGTACATCATTCTGCTCTTCGATTTCTATTGCTCGAGTCACGAAACCACGACATCAGAGCTGGGTCAATAGCCACTTGACACCTTTCCAGTTCTCCTGGGCTGTTGCCAGGATCTTCTCCGCTGGCAGCACGAAGCCACCGGCAGCCTCGTTCGCCGGACTGAGCTCCCAACCCCAGGCAATGTCGGCACCAGCAATGTCATAGACGTAGTCCATCGAGCCGCCGCTCGCGGCATACAAGACGTCGCACACGGGACCGTACCTGTACTTGCTGCCGGCGACGCTCTCAATGATGGCGGTGGTCTGGCGGGCCAGCTCCATCTGGCGGTCATAGTTGGCAACGCGCAGCGAGCAGTTGCCACCGTAGGGCATGAGGATGATGTGGCCAAACGCGTGCCAGTCGACGAAGAACTTGATGCCGTCGGGGTGTGCCGACGCGACCTTGTCCGTGTAGGCCGTGAAGGACGCCATCTCGGGCGTGTCGCCGGGACTCAGACCACGGTAGGACTGCGCGCATGGGTCGTCGCTGGCGCCGCCGGTGACGTTCCAGTAGTGCGGCCAGTTGCGGTTGAGGTCGGTGCCGATGCAGGCTTGGTTGCAGCGCGGCTGTCTGTTCTTGCGCCAAAGGCGGTCGGTCGTCTGCGAGTGGATGAAGCCATCTGGGTTGACGACGGGGAGGACGTAGAAGTCGTAGGCGTTGAGGAGGGCGGTGACCTCGGCGTCCGAGGCGAGGTAGCCGGAGATGAGCTGGTAGAGGAAGTACTCGACCGTCATGGTGGTGATCCACTCGCGGGCGTGCGTCGTGGAGTGCCAGTACTGCAGGGGATTTCGGTCAGTCGTGTCTTTCATCCATGCCCGAAGGGGAGACCTTACAATCGCAGGCTTCGAGCTCTTACCGCCCTTGCCCCACAGGTGAATACCGTGAATGTCGCGCCCCTCATACGACTTGCCGGCGACGACGAGTTCAGAGTTGTCGGGGAAGGCGTAGTGCAGGTCTTCGATGTAGTCGACATGGTCGGCGTACGCGTGATACGCATTGAACCACTCGATGCCAGGGAGATCAGCAGAAAGCGCCTCGGAGGAGGCCCTCGAGAGCTTCCTGCTGGCATAAGGCTGTAGGTCACCCTCAAGAAGGATATCGGCGCCGAGATCCTCGTGGACCACAATATGCTTCAGGCCGAGAGCCTCAAAGTCCTTGACCGACTCGGGAGCCACGGCGACGCTGTAACTGTCAGGCGAACCCTCGTCGACGTCGATGAAGTCGATGTTGGCGATTTTCTCCATAATGGCGTCGACGCCCTCCGGTGCTTCAATCTCAAAGACCTTAAAGCCATCGTAGAGGACCCTGGCCTCACGAGGGGCAAGACGCCGAGCCGATGCCAGGGGCACGGCAGCGGCAGCGAGGCAGGCGAGGAACTTCATGGCTAACGTGAGATGTGCCGTGGGAGTGACGGGAACAAGAGAGGGCTCGAAAGACAGGCGGGCATCGCCTCCTTACCTGCCTCTGCGGCAGGCGGTTGTTCTTTAAGAGCAGAAGATCCCTGCATAGATTGGCCAAATGGCGGCCATGTCGGTCCTTCATGCTGTGCCAGATCCCAGCAAGTGAGGTGCCTTGCCCTGAACCCCGCGTTGAAGGTCTCCCGCGAGGGGGCGGGTGGTAGCTGTCCTCGCCTTCTGATTCACCAATGCTGCTGATCCATGACGTTTCTCTCGAAGATGGAGAGGCTTGGCGGTTGATAGAAAGAGGCAGGTGCCGTTACACTCGACGCAAGCGCATGTAGGTTCGACCGAACCTTGGCTGTGCCCCATCGTCGCTGACACACTGTCGATTAGAGGGGCTATGAATCCTTGAACAAGGTACTAACGGCACAGTAAAGTGCCAATGGGCCCGACGTGGCCGGTATAGAACAGCGGGAGAAGAGGTGAGATGGCTGAGAAGCGTAGCGGGGGTGGAGAAGATCCAGGGGTGGAGCCTGAATGGATGTGAGAGGACATGGTCGGAGCTGGTTGGCCGCTTGGTGTTGCCGACATCTATGACCTTCCTAATGGGTGATACGGCAGACTTGCGCGCCACCAGCTTGATATTGCCAGCTCATGAGATCCGCAAAGAAGTCGATCAATCGCGAAAGGTATAAATGATTTCCGAGTCAGTAGCAGCTGCATTCAATTTGAGTCTTCGGGTGGCCACTCGGCAACTGTTGCACACCTGGACCGCAATTCCATTGTCTGCTGTTTCGTAGCATGCCTGGATCTGGCCATTGCGTTGGTGGTCAGCTCTCTGGATTCTTTTCCCGTCGATTCATGCATGGTTGGGCGATATGACTTGCAACTTTGTCGTAGAGCATCAAGCTCATTTCGCTTTCCTGTGGCATTTGGCAAGAAAACGTGTCGCGTCCTACGATTTTGACCTCCACTGTCTCACTGAGTCCCAGCCCTCCTGAATTCTCACGAAGCCTTGCGTACGGTATGGGACGGGAGCTAGAGCGGAAAAGACGATGCTGGTCATGCCCACTCGTTTTTGGTGCTGCATTTCTTGTTCAAAATACCAGACGACTCCTGGAGTTATGATCCTCAAGGGCAAGTCCTTGCTGCCAGCAATGCTCCGCGCTTGAACTCGTATGCCGGCAGATTGTTTCCGACCATCGCGTCAGCACGCCATTGCAAGGGCCCGCCACTGACTGCCGGGAGTCTGGTCGTGAACCGGCTCGTTGGGACAGCAGGCCGTTCGGCGGGAGAGTACGTCACCCACCCACCCCCCATGTGGTCTGCCTGGGAGTCGTCAAGAAGCCTGCCATTGATAGAGGCATCTCGCATCGATCCTGGACACTCGAGTTGTCCGATGGCTTGAAGGTCTCTCCAAGTCGAGGCACCTTTGACAATGTGCAATCTCTTGCTCGGCCGAGTGAACCTGCTGCCAAGCAATAGCAGGCACCCGACTACTCGATCATGATGAAGCTTCACCCCAAGTCAAAGGCTGAGGGAGGAGTAAACAGAGCAGGGGCAAGTCACGTGTCGCATGTCGAAGCACAGCAAGACGCGCTAAAGCCAGCGTTAGGAACTGTGCCTCAGAGCGTTCGGGGGCACCCAGGCCTTTGAGCCACTGACGGATCTCCCCGGCTCTGCCCTACGGGCGGGGACGATGGGATGGGCACACCCACACCCTGGGCTGGGCCAGCCGCAATCCCTATGCCACGACTCTATAGACATCATCGGTCCGCGGCATCATTCTCCATCCCTCATCATCAGTGTCGGTTCGACTTTCTGGTCGAGGGCCGATACGCCGACGGATGCTTCCCCGTCAGCATTGGCGCAAGCGCGTCTGATGGACGTCCGAGACCCTAGTTGGCACCAGACATGACTTCGAACCCCGTCCCAGCGCGGCTCTGCGGCAAACAAGGCGGCTTCTTCGCTTGGCGGTGGAGGACGCTGACGCGTCAGGCCTGGGCTCCAGCTTGGTTGACCCCAAGGGCAAAAAAAGACTGACAGGAGGCAAGTCACGCTTTGGTCATACGTCACATCATCTTGATGAAGCCATCGCACTCTGAGCCTTACCTGTCTCTTCCCAACTTTGCCGTTGCTTGCTGTCGGGGCTCACACTTCGACATTGACTGAGATAGACATTCTTCAGGACCCTGAGCACGCCACATCTCATCGCTGTTTCAACTGTTTCTGCCATCGTCTGTTCGCCCGCCGAGGCCACCAGGCCTAGGACTCTCACCCTCACTCTCAGCCCTTCCCAGCCTTGCTGTTGAGGCTTGGGGGCAAGCAGGGATTCTGTCCTTATTTCTCATCCCTCCATCGACTCTTTTTCAACTCTCACCCGGCCCTGGCAACCATGTCAGGCATGCTCAAGCCGCCCCCCATGATACGAACGCCATCTGGCGAGTACCATGAGACGTACAATGACAAGTATGTTGTCAAATACAATTTCAGCGAGATCGGTATGCAACATTACGCGTCTCCGACACGCGCTCCTAGGAAGCTGACATGACCTAGACCAGGAAACGGCCTCCAGGGAGCTGACTGAGCTTCTCGCTGATCTTGAAGAGACTGGCCTGCAGACAGAAGTGCGAGCGGGCTACGATCAGACCCTCTTGGTGTTTGTCAAGGCGCCTCGCGAGCTCCTTGGAAACACCGTCTATAAGTCGAGGTGAGCCGTCCGTCTCGATGTCTGGCTGCGCATAGAACTAACTCCTCTCAGGTCAGGGATTGGCTGTACGGCATTGTTGCCCACCATCCTGGAGGCACCAAAAATACTGTCGTTGATGCAGAGTATGAGGCCGAAGATGTTCTCTCCATGTATCACCTTGTCAATTGGAGCAAGGACCTCGGCGGCCCCGGCATCACCCCGGTCTGGGCAAATGGGAGAACGTCGAGGCCGTCTTCCCGCTGCACAATGAAAAGATCAACCAGTCATTGCTGAAGCACCTGAGCAAGCGCATTTTCCTGACCCACGACGATCTCGACATGGTGCGAGACCTTTGGGGATCCAAGGTGGCCTTTTACTTTGCCTTCATCCAGACGTACCTCGTCTTTCTCAGCTTCCCCGCCATCACCGGCGTCTTTGCCTGGCGCTTCCTGTCCAACTACTCACTTTTTTACGCCATCATGACTTGTGTTTGGTGTACTGTATTTCTCGAATACTGGAAAATTCAGGAGGCTGACCTGGGCATCCGGTGGAACGTCAAAGGCATTGGCCACGTCAAGGTCAATCGCCCACAGTTCAAATACGACAAGATCATCACAGATGAAGGGGGACGAACGCGGCATTACTTCCCCAAGAGGAAGCAGGTCATGCGACAGTTGCTTCAGATCCCCTTTGTTGCGCTCGCCACGCTGGCCCTGGGGTTTATCATCGTGTGTGTCTTCGCTATTGAGGTTCTCATCTCCGAGACGTACGAAGGCCCTTACAAGTACTACCTCGAGTACTTCCCCACCGTCCTGCTGGCAGTGGCACTTCCCTACATCACGTCTTCCCTCGAGGACATGGCAAATACGCTCACCGAGTTCGAGAACCACCGGACGGCTGATCATCACGAGATGTCCCTGACACAAAAGATCTTTGTCCTGAATATTGTCACCAATTACCTTCCCATTCTCCTGACGGCATTCGTCTATGTGCCCTTCGGAGACGATGTGATTCCATACCTCGAGACGGCTACGACAAAGCTGTTAGGAAGCGTCGGCCAGCGTTTCCACAACACAACCTTCCACGCTGATTCTGATCGCCTACGAAATGAGGTCATTGCTCTCGTTGTCACCGGACAGATATCCGGTTTCTTCGAAGAGAATGTCTTACCCCTCGTCAAGCACAGATTCGGCGGCTGGTGGCGCGAGATCCGACGTCTGCGATCCAAGGACTCGATGCTCATGTCCGTCGTTCGCGATGACCCTGAGGAGGCTGAGTTCCTCAAGCGTGCCCGCAACCAATCGACACTTCCGAAATACGACGTGCAGGAAGACATTGCCGAGATCGTCCTGCAGTTTGGCTACCTCACCCTCTTCTCGCCCGTCTGGCCTCTCATCCCAATGGGCTTCCTCGTCAACAACTGGATCGAGCTACGCTCCGACTTTCTCAAGATCTGCATCGAGCACCAGCGTCCTCACCCCATCAGAACGGACGGCATTGGGCCATGGATTTATTCCCTCGACCTTCTCACCTGGCTCGGCAGCATTTCGACCGCTGCCATTGTCCACCTCTTTGGCTCAAGCCACCTCGGAAGCGGTGGCTGGTGTGTTTTGCCCGTCACTATTTTTATCAGTGAACACATCTTCCTCGTGTTCCGCTCGCTCGTGTGCTTCGTTCTGCAGCGCCTTGGCTCGAAACAGATCCGCAAGGAGCGCAACGAGAGGTACGCCACGCGACTGAAGCGCCTCGAGGAGCTCGAGGCCAACAAGCGGAACGGTCTGGGGCTGAGCGTCGCGGAGAGGGAGCGCCGAAAGTCGGTTCGTGCTACGGGCAGCGACACGCTGTTCACGAAGCAGGTGGAGGAGGGGCTCAGTGCCGTAGTCGGTACCGGACTGATCAAAAGAGTCAAGCAGCAGGATGTCGACGCGGGAACAGAGCCCAAGCTCGATTAGGGCATTATTCAGACAAGACAATCACGCAAATTGAAGTCCTCATATGACGCCGGTGACATTGGATTCCACCTTAACAAGTGGGACAAGGCCAAGAGAATTGCATATCAACGAGTGACATCATTCTAGAGTCAAGACCAACGATCACCGGCATGTTAAGAAAAACCGAGACTCAGAACAAACATGTGAATCAACTACTTTTCTTTCCTCTCACTCTCGTCCAATCCACGCATAGACACACCGTAACACACTATCAGGACCTGAGGGAGGTATAAGACCGATAGGGGATAGCCTATTATTTAATCGTAGGAACTAAGGAGAGAGGACTAAGCGTAGTAAGGGAATAGTTATAAGAAAGGTTAATAGACTAAGATTTATAGAGGGTATCGATTATTCTATCTCCTTAGAGACCCCCTAAGAGACTAATAGCTAATCCCTTTACTCGTTATATAAGACTCCTTTAATATAATAATCGATCTACCCCTAAAGGAGCGACGACCGTTAGGATAATATATCGATTAGAGACGTACGTAGTACTAGAAGATAGGCTACTATAGGATAATAGACGGAGAATACCGAGGAATTAATATAATTAAAGCCCGATATAAAATAAAGATAAGATACTGAGAATAATATACTTAATAATCTACTATTAATTATAAATAAGGAACTAGACCGATAGTTAGAGGAAGAATAATATAAACTCGTAAAGAAAAGGAAATACGAAGAATTAGCTATACTCCGAAGGGGAGACCTAATAAGCCTATTACCGGGAGTAATTAATAGACTAATACTAGTATTTAGGGTAATATACTACGAAGAACTATAAAGTACGCCTTTTACGAAGATATAGCTATTAATTATTTAATATAAGGGGACGTCTTAATCGGAATTTAATACCTTCTAATTTAGCTTTAATATACGATTCTAGCTTAATAAAAAGAGTTTCCGTAGAGATATCGATAAAGTCGTATATACGAGTAACTACTTTACTAATACTTTATAACGGAGATAGATATCGTATATATAAATAGAATACGGATCTATCTACGAAGTTACTTAAAGAGTAATAAAGGCTTAGCTAAAGGGCGATATAGACGACGATAATATCCGAGTATTCTAGATAATTATTAAACTATATAAGTAGGATTAGTAGTTTTAAGCCCTTAATTAGAAATACTAAGACTTTATAGACGCTTACGATAGCTTAGAAGTAGAGTATTACGACCTATAGCTTCCAAAGGGGAACACTATTAGAGAGGGTTAGGGTTACTATTTAGTAGAAGCTTAGGTTATAACTCTAAGACGATATAGTATCGTAAGGCATTACGTACTCGTTATAATAAATATAAAATAAGACTTAGATTAATTACTATCGTGAGAAAGAGTATATCTATAAGTATAAGAATATCTATCCTTTTATACTTATTTCCCTATCCTAAGTTAATTAAGTTAGTAAATCTATATTAAATAATTTATTTATTAATTATTAGTAATCTATAATATTAAGATTACTATAAGTTAGCTAATAAGCTAGTTATTAGCTTATTATTATATTACTTATAAGTTATTACGTAACTTATTAAGTAGGTCCGTTCCTATCTTATCTTATTTCTTAATTACGGGGTCGGTAACTCGTAGCTAGCGTAATTCCTTAGTTATTATATAATACTCTTCTTCTAGGCCGATATCCTAGCGGCTATAAATAGTAGGTTCTAGCTATCCGGGGTAATTCTTCTCTTATTATCCTTAATAACCTTAATAAGATATTAAGCTATATTATTAAACGTTTATCTATTAAGACCGATTAGAGAAAAGCGTTTATTATTTTAATCGATTCCGAAAATAAAGCTAAGATACCCTATACTAGATACTTTAAGCGGTACTTTATATATAAGACCGCTCTAGGTTCCTCTCGCTATAAGGAGTATATCCGTTATAGCTATTCCTATAATAGCGTAAGTATAGTTTCTATATATAAGTTAGCCCTTAGTAAAGTTCTTAGTCTTTTTAATTTAACGATTATATAGTAGAGAAGGCTCTTATTAAATAGAAGAAGCGAGAAGTAGAGATTAAAGATATTAAAATAGAGTTAGAAGTTCTTTAAACGAAGTTAGTAGTAGCGTTAAGTCGTTTATCCCGTCTTTATAAGATACGGAAAGCGGCGAAGATTTATAATAAGGAGTTATTCGCTCGGGGAATTTATTAATTAGATAAGGAGGACGGTATTCTTCCTCTAGATAAGGGTAGCTTAAGTCTCGAGGCTTAAGAGGCTAGCGTAGTATAGGATCTCTAAGAGTAGGGTATTAGTAGCGTCGTAGACTAATCCTCGTTAGGCTTCGGGGAGGAGTTTTCGGATCTCGGTCCTATATTTAGCGATAGTATTCTTAAAGTAGCTATAAGTAGTTTAGGTTCTTAACTAATTCCTATATATCTTCTTTATATTTATAGCTTTTCTATTTAATAAAGTATTTATTTTATTTATTTATTTATCTATAATCGATAATCCTTTCGATTTTATATTCGTTCGTATTTTCTATTTCTACGTTTATTATAAAGGGTATATTAAATAATATTAATTCTAAGAGTACTATATAAAAGATAAAGTGAATTTTTATATTCTCTAGTAATAAGAGGTAATAGTTAATATCTAAGAGTTTCTTAAGAATTTTAAAAGGTTTTAGTTTCTTAAAATCTAATTTATCGTTTAATCGTTTAGTTTTAATATTTTAGCGGATAAGGTAAACGCTACCTCCCTTTTATAAAGATAATCCTTTTATCTTTATTTTATTAACGTATATAGTTATTCTAATATATATAAGCTCGAGGTTAAGCTTAATTTATTCTTAGATTTCGTAGATATTAATCGTAATATTTATAGCTT